ACACAGGGAGGCAGCCAAAATGGGGAGACAAAGAAACATGTCCCAAATAAGAGAACAGCACAAAGCTCCAGAAAAAGAACTAAACAAAATGGAGATAAGCAATCTACCAGAGACAGAGTTCCAAACATTGATTATGAGGATGCTCAACGATCTCAGTGAGAACTTCAGCAAAGAGATGGGAAACACAAAAAGAGCTGCCAACTGCCTAAGAGTAACACACTACGTTTGAGGAGATAAGCGTCTGGTTATTGTGGGAGGCAGAGAGGGTGAACTCAGCCTTGCCAAAGGCTATGAAGAGTCAAGTCCTTAAAAGTGACCTGACATAGATGTGAGACTGAAAGGTCATTATTGTAACTGAATATATGAGCCACGATTACACAGAATATATATATTGAAACACAGGAAAACTTTCTATAATTGGGTTTTCTGGTTGAGCACTTCCTTCCATTAAAGTCTTTTCTAAGTTTAATCTTTGTGTGACTTTAGTTTCCAACTATGTTTGCAGGAGGGGAGGTGGCACCCTATTGCATGTAGGCCACTATGTATGCGACACTCTTTTAAACCTAAAGCTATGATTTCAAAGAATCCTTATGGAGACGGGCGAACCTACTGTCCAACTCAGGCCCCTCTCCTGATAGACAGACCCACATTACAGCCCCGCTTGGACAGCCAGCAGCAGCTCACCACCTACATGGTCCACACTAATCACATTCTCTATACCTTTCCTCATCAGCTTACCACCACCTCTTCCTCCATCATCCTCAATCTCAGCTGACAAGAACAGCTTTTGTGTAGTTAGAAACCTCAGGATTCAGGGGTCATTATAGACTCTCCCCACCACCTCACAGTCCCCAACTTCCTAAAGCTCTCTCGCATCTGTCTATATCTTACCATCTCTTACCCAGACTGCACCCAGGGATAAAGCCCCCAGCCTTCAGCAGGTATCACAATATTATAGCTCCCAGCCCTGGGACACTGCTAGAGTAGTCAAGAAATGTAGCTCATCCAAGTGATGCAGGGAGCCAGGTATACTCTTCCTGACAGAGTATGGAGGGGTATCTGGCATGCCTCTGGGTCATTCACACAACAGACCTGGCCACTCAGGTCACCCTGCAAATTCCAGCTGGTGAGGATGATTCAGAGATTTCCCCAGCCTCTTCATGTTCCTGTTCTGTATCCCTCCTTTCCCCACCTTCTATCCTTTGGGTTCTTTTCCCCTAAACTGAACTCTGGACTCAGCCCTGACAGCCAGTCTGCCTGGGGCTCTCTGGACATGGCTTTGCATGTGGTCTCTCTTGTGGACTCTGGCAGTCGCTCTCCTCTCAATCTTCCCAGTGCCCCTCACTGGCTGAGGGTGACCTGTCTTCTTAAATTGAAGATAGAATGTGCACTGGGGAAGCATTTTTCACTTCCTAGGAGGATTTTAAAGTTTTTAGAATGCAGCTTCATTAGATGTTTGCTTCACAGCGATTTTCATGGTCTTTCCTCCTCTACCATTTATGAGGGAGATGTTATGGACTGAATTGTGTCCCCCCCAAATTCATATGTTGAAGCCTTAACCCCAAATGTGATGTATTTGGAGATGGGACCTCTGGAACATAATCAGGTTTAGATGAGGTCATGAGTGTGGAGCCCTCGTGATGGGATTAGTGCCTTTATAAAAACCAACACCAGAGAGCCTGCTTCCTCTCTTTCTGCTATGTGAGGACACAGTGAGAAGGTGGCCATCTACAACCCCGGTAAAGAGCTTTCCCCAGGAACCAACCATGCTGGCACCTTCATCTCAGATTTCCCAGGCTCCAGAACTGTGAGAAGTAAATATCTGTTGTTTAAGCCACATAGTCTGTTATTCTGTTATGGCAGCCTGAGCTGACTAATACAGAAGGCTTTGGGTTTTGACCAGCTAGGTAAGCTGATTTATCTGTGTATGTGTTCATGGCCAGATTCAAATAAGACACCTCATTAAAATCTTACTGTAAATATCAGGTATTTTTAAAAACCCTGTCTCTAACTTCAGGGTTGTATTCCAAGAAATGGTAGATTATGGGCCAAATCAGACTCTACTTACCAGTTTATTTAAAAAACATTTTTAAAGAATGTGTTGGGGCCGGCTGGGTGGCACAGTTGGTCAGAGTGCGAGCTGTGAGCATCAGAGTCGCCGGTTGGATTCCCACATGGGCCAGTGAGCTGTGCCCCAGCTGAGCTGCTGCTGAGCTGCTGCTGAGCTGCCAACGGGTGGCCGGATGGTTCAGCTGGTGAGAGCGCATGCTCCTAACAACAAGGTTGCTGGTTCGACTCCCTCATGGGATGGTGGGCTGTGCCCTGCCGCAACTAAGAATGAACACTGTACCTGGAGCTGAGCAGCCAGCTGCTCCTAACAACAAGGTTGCTGGTTCAACTCCTGCATGGGATGGTGGGCTGTGCCCCCTGCAACTAGATTGAAAGCGGCAACTGAACTTGGAACTGAGCTTGCGCCCTCCACAACTAAGATTGAAGGACAACAATTTGACTTGGAGCTGATGGGTCCTGGAAAAACACAATGTTCCCCTTCCCTAATTCCCCAACATAGCTCCCCTCCTCAATTCCCCAATAAAATCTTAAAAAAGAAAAAGAACGTGTTGAAGACATTTACCAGGATGACCAACTATCTAAATGTCACTGTTCAAATTCCAAGGAACTTTTGCCATCAGAGGGGTTTCAGGGTGAGGGATGGACAATCAGGTGACTTCAGCAGTGTGCTGTCATGTGAGAAAGTGCTGGCATTGGGCAGAAATGCAGGCATCTCAGCCCTCAAGGAACGCTGGGATTTGGGCAGGAGGACCCTAGGTAAATAAAGGCCACAGACAGTACCCAGACTGTGTCTGATCCTCATTGTCACCTTCCTTCCTTAGGCCTGCTTTTACTACCTGGGCCTCAGGGTCCTACTGTGTCGTCTGAGAGAAGCCATGCACGGTACTGAGAAAAGAAATGAATTGTGAGGTAGTCACAGGTCAGTCACAGGCTG